CCATCACATCCTCCTCCTTCACCGTGCACCACGTGACCCACCCATCACAACCTCCTCCTCCACCCTGCACCACGTGACCCACCCATCACATCCTCCTCCTTCACCCTGCACCACGTGACCCACCCATCACATCCTCCTCCTTCACCGTGCACCACGTGACCCACCCATCACAACCTCCTCCTCCACCCTGCACCACGTGACCCACCCATCACATCCTCCTCCTTCACCCTGCACCACGTGACCCACCCATCACAACCTCCTCCTCCACCCTGCACCACGTGACCCACCCATCACATCCTCCTCTTTCACCCTGCACCACGTGACCCACCCATCACATCCTCCTCCTTCACTCTGCACCACGTGACCCACCCATCACATCCTCCTCCTTCACCCTGCACCACGTGACCCACCCATCACAACCTCCTCCTCCACCCTGCACCACGTGACCCACCCATCACATCCTCCTCCTCCACCCTGCACCACGTGACCCACCCATCACATCCTCCTCCTCCACCCTGCACCACGTGACCCACCCATCACAACCTCCTCCTCCACCCTGCACCACGTGACCCACCCATCACATCCTCCTCCTTCACCGTGCACCACGTGACCCACCCATCACAACCTCCTCCTCCACCCTGCACCACGTGACCCACCCATCACAACCTCCTCCTCCACCCTGCACCACGTGACCCACCCATCACATCCTCCTCTTTCACCCTGCACCACGTGACCCACCCATCACAACCTCCTCCTCCACCCTGCACCACGTGACCCACCCATCACATCCTCCTCCTTCACCCTGCACCACGTGACCCACCCATCACAACCTCCTCCTCCACCCTGCACCACGTGACCCACCCATCACATCCTCCTCCTCCACCCTGCACCACGTGACCCACCCATCACATCCTCCTCCTTCACCCTGCACCACGTGTCCCACCCATCACATCCTCCTCCTTCACCCTGCACCACGTGTCCCACCCATCACATCCTCCTCCTTCACCCTGCACCACGTGACCCACCCATCACATCCTCCTCCTTCACCCTGCACCACGTGTCCCACCCATCACAACCTCCTCCTTCACTCTGCACCACGTGACCCACCCATCACAACCTCCTCCTCCACCCTGCACCACGTGACCCACCCATCACATCCTCCTCCTTCACCCTGCACCACGTGACCCACCCATCACAACCTCCTCCTTCACCCTGCACCACGTGACCCACCCATCACATCCTCCTCCTTCACCCTGCACCACGTGACCCACCCATCACATCCTCCTCCTTCACCCTGCACCACGTGACCCACCCATCACATCCTCCTCCTTCACCCTGCACCACGTGACCCACTAATCATAATCTTCAATTCCTACTCCCAACCTTCAAGTTTCTCACCCTATATCTTGCCATGAAAATCCTAGCAACCTTCGAATGCAAATGCATTCGAAGCACAGTAGCCTGACTTTAATTGGTCGGTGCATACCCAGCTGATTATCATCATCATCAGTATCATCATCAAAAGTAGCAGCAGCATCATCACCATCAACAGCAGAACCAACAAGCCCATGACCATAATCATCAGCAACAGCAGCGATATCATCTCATACTAAAGCCATCATAATCATAGGATTGTAATATCACCATCACTTGTTACATGAAGCAGCAATGCACCACACAAATTCGTAAATCCCTACACGATCCAGCAACCCCAGCAGCTACTAACTCCGCTCGCCGCAACCAATAACCTACAAACACCGCCAGTGCAGGTTCCGTGGAGATCATCTCCGGAACATTCCGCACCCCACCCACCCCCATCAACCTTCTCCCATGCCCCCTCCCCCTCGGCCCCCAACCCCAATAACGTTCAGGTCATCCCAGTGGCTCTAAATCTACTGCACAAGCACAATAACAACGTGAGCACTCATCCCATTAACCCTGAACGCAGCCCTCCGCCGACGTAACTATCCGACGGCCGTTTAACCTCAATGCGCATGTAGAACCATAAAATGAGCGCAAGTCGGTTAACCTTGGTCACGTCAAAAGCCATAGTGGCGTTCGTGCCCCCCCCCCAACCCCCTAATCAGTATTAACCCTGCCACCCCAAACAAGATTAACCCGTTCCCAGTATCGCCTGCTTCGCCACGTGACTAAGCCGGGTTCATCTCGCGGAGTGATTCCGGCTACGACGCGAGTGTGGAGAGAGAGAGAGAGGCGGTGGTGCACGTTGAGCCGTGTCGGGAGAGTGGTGGGAAATGTCACGTTCCCATGGCAGGGGACGAGTACATCCGCAAGACAGTCGATGTTGTTGTTGACTTCCCCCCATCAAACCCGGCCCCCCAAAAACGGTGCCCCATTCTATCGGCGACGACACTGAATCAGCCACCACCACCTCCTTCCTCCATCTCCCACCCCCGCCCCCCCCCCCCCAACAGAACCTGAAGTTGAACTCACAACCTTAAGATTGCGAGCCGCTCGCTCTACACCGGCATACAACGAATGTTGACCGGAGTAGACGAATCGCCGCGGGCATAAGGGGATAGGTATACTGGATGGTGTGTGCCGGGGAATGGGAACATTTCTGGGGTGTCTCCGGCCGACGAGCGTGGGTGACACGTGGCCATAGTGACCACGGATTTTGAGGAGAGGCATACTGGATGCTGTGTGCCGGGGCATCATTGATGCCCTTTGATTCACGGACACGTGCCGATATAAAAAAATTCCCGCCGGAGCAGAGAGCGGTGCAAGCTGGAAATGGTGCTTATCGAGAGCACGGAAGAGCTTAAGAATGAGAGAAATATACGTAGACATCGACACATTTACCATTAAGAACTAATCTTTTTTTTCATGTTACGAGTTAAGTCCCACTGAGCTAAATTAGCCCTTTTCCAGAAGCGATGTGGCCATTACAAATGATAGCTCAACAAAGTGGCTCATCATCATCATCATCACGTGGATATTTACAGGAGCCAAATACTCTGAACGAATGTTCATCTTTAAATGCGGAGGGGAAAACCGGAGGACCCGGAGTCTGCCTCGGCAGCAGACCAGGCTTTCCCACCTGATGATGGACACTTGTGTTGCGCCCGAAACGTGGTGAATTAATATAATTTAGTTTATACCTACATGACTTTACCGAAAGAACCAAAGAGTAAGAGAAAGAGACTTGCAATCTCCAAATATACAGCAGGTGTCAGGCGTCGAGATTGAACCCACGATCTCCTGCAAACCAGACGCTGTCTTCCCGACAGACCTGTTTTTCACCTGAGGACGGCTGCTTGCGTTGTGGCCGAAACGTGGTGAGAATTATTTTATGTTTTATTTTTATTATTTTATTATTTCCCTTATACGTGACTTTACCGAAAGAACCAAGAAGAAGAAGAACAGGCGAGGCAGTTAACATCTCCGAGCCACAGTGCTGCCCCGGAAGAAACTCAACCTCAGTGCGTGTCATGTACTCTGTGCCGCCTTTGAAGAGCCTGCGTGCGTGTTTGTGCATGCGTATTTGTGTGTGTGTGCCTATGCGTGGAGCGGTGGTGTAGCGGTTTAGCGCGCTGCGCTACAAAATCCCTGAAACCTGAGTTCGGTTCCCGCTCACGGCCAGTACCAGTGACGATTATCTGAATCGGTTCTGGGGCCTCCTCTAAGTCGAATCAGCCTCGAATTAGTAGCTGGTGCGGTGTGTAGACATCGCCACTCGGGAGACAAAAGCGGCCGGGCGTGGTGCTAGCTACTCACCCCATCGCGTGCCACACCGGCCTTCATAGGTGCTCACTATCAGCACTTGCCTCCCACAGTCTATTAATGCTATAAGGGGATTTTTTTTTGTCTTTGTGTGCGTGTGCGCACACGTGTTCGTACGCATGTGTGTGTGTCTGTGCATTTGCGTGTGTGTGCACGCGTGTGTGGTGCTCAGGAGTCTTAATTGGCAATAAGCGAGGTCGGCATCTCTGGCTCGCGAGTTAATTAGCGGCAGGAATGATGTCTCGGAGAGGCGAGCGATGGTGGGGAGTTGGATTTTCTTTTGTCCTATCGAAGTGGGAACGTCGTATCTCCAGGGTACCATCACAAGCAAAGTCTCAACATCGTCACCATTATCATCAGCACCATCATCTGTGGCAGCCGGTGAAGCAGCAGCAGCATCTTCATCATCAGCAGCAGCAGTATAATCAGCATTGGTGTAATACAGCATAATATGAAATTGCATTGGGCAATTTGACTCCAGGTCGAGTGGAAACTCTCCTCACCAAAGTGTGGGTTATAGTCCCTTTATTTCACCCACAGCTCCCTCCTTCATCCACAGCTCTCTCCTCCTCATCCACAGCTCTCTCCTCCTCATCCACAGCTCCCTCCTTTATCCACAGCTCTCTCCCCCTTCATCTACAGCTCTCTCCTCACCCCGTCACTCCTCCGACGTCCCCCTCTTATCCCCATGGCCCCTCTCTCCTCTCCCAGTAGTGCCCTCCTACCTCCCCTCGTCCCTGTCTCCGAACCTGCAGCTACCAAATCGCGGATCGTCACACGGCGCGGTGGGGAGGGGGTTACTCCCGGTCACGTGGGTAGGGGGATTGATGCCGCGCCTCTGATGAGCACGGATTAACACCGGTTGGCTACGGTACGGTACGGTGCGCACGAAGCTCAACGTACACGCAACATGTATGTTACACAAACTTCTTTCGCAACCGTATGTAACCAACCGTGCTAATCGGAGTTGTGATGCCGAAGTCGAGAGGCCCGTTACGGAGGACCCTTACACTGGGTTGCCTGCAACTTTCACCGACGGTAAACCTCAGCGTCGACCTACGACCCGATGTAGCCAACAGACCTCTGACAGCTCGAATGGAGATGTTTACCGACGCCACCTCCATTCACTCTCACGCCCCTTCACCATCACCACCATCAGCACCCCCCCCCCCCACCCCGCATCATCACCCCACGTCATCATCACCACACCGCATCATTACCCCCGCGTCATCATCACTGCCCCCCTCCCATCTCACCTGAGCGAGGGTCACGACCCCGTCCTGCGTGGAGGGGTCGGTGGCGATGGAGAAGGCCCCGGCCCTGTCCCCGGCCACGATGCGGTAGTCCACCCTCGCGTTGTCGCCCTCGTCTGCGTCCTGTGCCCGCACTCGCCCCACCGTCATGCCCGGCACCGCCGCTTCGCTCACCGACGCACGGTATGTGCCTGGGTGTGTCGGGAGGGAGGTACAATTTGTAAATAAATATTATTGTAATTTTTGGGGAGCACAACGCGAGTCTCGATATAGCCCCTTTTCACATGTCGCCCCTTACCCCCCACCCTTAAGCCCAACCCTTTAACCTGTAAAATATTAAAGCTCTACCCCTCGGGCCGAGGATACAGGTGCAGCCCTGCAATTGCTTGCTGCTGGTGGAAGTCCCTCTCGCCAAGGAGGCAGCTTTTGAGGCTAATTTTCTACGCTGGCTGGACGACTCTTGAATATTATTGAAACAGTTTTTGTACATTTTCTTGTTTTACCAGCTTGCTATCGCAAATGATAGTTCGACCGAGTGGCTTAGCAGCATCACGTGGAGATTCATAGCAGCCAAATAACTATGCACGCGTGATGTTGATTCTAAATGTGGAGGGGAAAAAACGGAGGACCCCGAGAAAAATCAACGGGACGACGGGGAGAGCGAGAGAGACACGCAAACTCCAAATATACAGCAGCAGGCGTCAGGGTCGGGATCGAACCCACGACCTCCTGTATACCAGGCGAGGTAGTTAACATCTCCTAGCCACCGTGATGATGATGAGAGAGAGAGACACGCAAACTCCAAATATACAGCAGGCATCGTCAGGGTCGGGATCGAACCTACGATCTCCTGCTCACCAGTAGAGGTAGTTAACATCTCCTAGCCACCGTGATGATGATGAGAGAGAGACATGCAAACTCCAAATATACAGCAGGCATCGTCAGGGTCGGGATCGAACCCAAGACCTCCTGTATACTAGGCGAGGTGGTTAACATTTTGCCACCGTGGCGCCCCCCCCCCCCCACTTCCCCCCCCCCCCCCCACGGGAAAGAAACGTAACCCCCATAGTTTCAACTGGGAGATGGGATCGAAAAGTCGATCGCATGACAAAAGTAACGACGAACAAAGAGAGGAGACCTCACGGGCTTTTCAACGAGTGACCGACCGCCGCTTTGGTGGAATAAACCAAATCGCTGACGGCATTTTGTGCACAGCTACCCGCCCAGATGCAACAGCAGCAGCAGCACCACCAAGTTATTAGTTTCACCACCGGGCGCTTTTGTTGAATAGGGAATCGGCGTCGAAAGGAATGAATTGGGAGCGGAGCGAAGAGCTTCGACGTAGCGGAGTGCTTTGTTGAAAACAAAAGAATAAAAAACGCGATCGGACCGTTCACAAGAGGTTCCTGGTTCTTTTGAGCGGTGGCGCAGGCGGTTAGCGCGCTACGCTACGAACCTGGTGACCCGGGTTTGATTCCCGCTCACGGCCACCAACACCAGTGATGAATATCTGAACCGGTCCTGGGCCTCCCCTAGATCGGCTGAGACTTAAATGAGTACCCGGTGCGGTGTGTTAACATTGCCGCTGGGAAGAGAAAGGCGGCCAGGCGTGGTTTTGGCCACCCACCCCTCGTTTGCTGTTCCGGCCTTCATAGGGGCTCACTAACAGCACTTGCCCCAACAGTTTGTCATGGCTATACGGGGGACCTTTGTATGTTCTCCCCCTGCTCTGCAAGATTGTGAGTGAGCGTGTGAGTGCGTGGTGTGTCGCTAACAGCACTTGCCCCAACAATCTGTTACGGCTACACGGGGGGGGGGGGGTCTTTGTCTCAGTGTGAAGTGTTGTCTCCCCCCCCCCCCCCCAGTTCTGCATGGTTTTTCTCTTGGCTCTCATCTTTCTTCCCATTGCTAAAATCCACAAATTACACATGCGCGCGTGCGATGCAGCCGGTATTTAGCCGAACCGCATTCCACTACGACTACAGTCGTTGTGGAAGATTTCAGAGTACCCACACTTCACCCCACCAGACGCGATCTGCCCCATCGCCGAACTGTCGATGCTGGACCCATTTCTACCGCTGAGTGGACAGAGGCGGCTGTGCTGGCGAGGGGGGGAGGGGCTGAGATTGAATAAACTTAACCCATCGTTTCATCCAGCAGTGGGTAGACACTGGAGCTCTCAATTGCATCAATAGCTACAATTGCATGTTCCCACCACAATCATCATCATCATCAGCATCATCATCAGCAGCAGCAGCAGCTGCAGTCGATTCACCGCTGGATGGAGGCCCCCGGCAATTAAGCACCGTCTCTCACGATCTTCATAATCAACGTTTTTGGGTTTAGATCGCGTTATTTATACATGTGTCGTAACCCTCCACCACCCGACACGGCCAATCAGTAAAAAAGTGTCACGTTGACAAAAGACAAATAGAGTCACTGCTTTAGCCCACCGGTGTGTTGAAGCGTGAAACCACAACATTTACAATTTGTTGTAGTTTCACGCTTCAACACACCGGTGGGCTAAAGTAGTGAACTATTTGTCTTTTGTCAACGTCACACTTTTTTACTGATTGGCCGTGTCGGTTGGTGGAGGGTTACGACACATTTATAAATAACGCGATCTAAACCCAAAAACGTTGATTATGAATAATATTGGTCGCGAAAGCCTGCTACGTGTTAATCTCACTATCTTGCGATGCCCTGAGGACATCCGCGTGAGCTGTGATGGTCCGGCAACTGGACTTGATGTCGCAAGTCGGATTTCCCGTTCAAAAAAAATGTGAGGCTACGTTTTTTATATTGTATCTTTCTCTAACCCACTACCGCATCTGGCTCGCACCATCGGTGTAAATGGGTTATATTGAGGGTGCCTCAAAACATGTTTTTAACACTTGTGAGAAATTTGCAACAAGACCACAAGAAGCGTGCCCTCCGGGGCACTAGAGACCACCTGGAGAAGATTACAGGCATGTGTTGACAACGATGGCGAACACGTGGAAACTCTTGGACTTTTTGAAGCTATTAACATGACATTTGTTATCATGTTACAGTGTATTATCCGTTATTTTTCCATGAAAAAAATGGTGTATATACCACAGTAAGTCGGAAGTTCGTGTGTGCTGGGGTAACGTGTGGGTAACTCCCACGTATTCCAAGACGTTCCCTGCAAGGAGGGTTGCTCTCCAGTGCTCAGCGCTACGTGGTGGCCCTTCTGCTTGCAGTAGAATCAAAATCCAGAATAAACAAAACCCGGGATCAAAAGACGGAATCAAAAACGAGGAATCGTCACCCGGGATCAAAAAGCCCGCAAAAAAAACCGGAATCGAAACTGGTGATTAAAAAAGGGAATACAAAATTCCGGAATTGTTACCTGGAGTGAAAACCCAGGATCCAAACACGGAATCCAAACCCCTGAAAAAAATCCGGAATCAAAACTCGGGATTAAATTAGAAGAAGAAAAAAAATCCGGAATCAAAACTCGGGATTAAATTAGAAAATAAAAAAATCCGGAATCGTTACCTGGAGTCAAAGCCGAGGATCAAAACACGGAATCAAAACCCCGGGAAAAAAATCCGGAATCAAAACCCGGGATTAAATTAGAAGAAAAAAAAATCCGGAATCAAAACTCGGGATTAAATTAGAAAATAAAAAAATCCGGAATCGTTACCTGGAGTCAAAACCGATTATCAAAACACGGAATCAAAACCACGGGAAAAAAATCCGGAATCAAAACCAGGGATTAAATTAGAAAATAAAAAAATCCAGAATCAAAACTCGGGATTAAATTAGAAAATAAAAAAAATCCGGAATCGTTACCTGGAGTCAAAATCGAGGCTCAAAACACGGAATCAAAACCCCAGCAATTAAAAACCCCAGGATCAAAACCCGGCATCAAAATCCAAACTCGTCGCGACGGCTCCTCGGAGCGTCGGGACGTTTGGTTCCCCAAGACGTCTGGCTACACAGCGTCCAGCGTCCCGCGTTCACTTCACTGAGATGTGAGGATCGTGCGAAGATTTTTAATTGCTCCGTTGTGCAAGAGGCCGTGCCGGGCGAGGTGGGAGGGAGGGGGCTAATGGAGTGGGGGGTGTGGGGTATGGGGGATGCGAGAAGACTGAGCATTAAGATACTCGCATTGTTCTATCGCCTGCTGCATTCAGACTTTACAGCTCGCGGTGCACGAGTGGCTCTACGCGTGCCCTTCACGAGTCGCCTCCACGGGAGGCTCGCTCAAAGGCGCTAGTGGGCAGTGCCAGGCTAGGTGCACGTAGAGGCGGGCTGGGAAATGGGATGCAGTCGTAGGCAGCTGCCCTCCGGCGGAGCGGGCAGAGGGAGCGACGCTCACAACAACGAGCGGAGAGCCGGGCGGCTAAAACGCAATGAGGTGGCACAGTGCGGTGGGGGGGGGGGGGAGGTCCGTCTGCCAGTCATCTCAGTGAGTCAACCCACGGCATCTGTTCCGATACCTCCTGAACCTAGCCTGGTACAGTAGGGAGCACAGGTGGTGCATCTGTCAGTCATCTCGGTCAGTCAACCCACGGCACCTGCTGGGTCTGTGCCGTGATCCCCTGTCAGCACCGAGGCTTCGACACTTCACGTGACGTCCTCAAGGTGCACCTAGCCTGGCACAAGCTACCGTGATGACGACACTGCAGGTTTGTTGGTGTATTTGTTCACGTCGTGGTTAGCGCGCTGCGATATGAACCCGGTGACCCAAGTTCGATTCCCACTCACGACCAACAAACTGTGGTAAATATTTGCACCCGTCCTGAGCCTCCCCTAGGTCAACTCAGCCTAAAATGATAACCTGGTGCGGTGTGTATTAAGCATCAGCACTGGGGAGACAAAGGCGACCCGTACCGTCCTGATTAGGTCCTCGCTAACAGCACTTGCCCCATTAAAGGGTATCATGTAAAAGACATTACTTGATAATGCGACTACGCTTGCAGCGGTGCATGAGCACAATTAACAAAAATAACTCCGTATGTGTGTGACCTTAAAGTTAATAATGAATTAGATTTAAATTAATAATAAATGGAGGCGACATTTCCAGGCAAAGGGGTCTACATCACAATACATAGAGAGAGAGGTGTCAGACCGGTTGGGTCATGCATGGCCTCTCTGCGAGCTGTGAAGAGTTACCATCACCACCATCACCATCACCACCATCACCACCATCGCCACCGTC